TAGAACAAATATCAAGCATATTCATCAGTTAAACAATCCTCCCAGAAAGCAGGATTTAAGAGCAGAGGCTGACATTGTTATTGGGGATTCTTCAGACTCATCATACCCACACAGTGTATCATTTTCCATCTTCATCTCTGATCCCTATTCTGAAAACCCACCCAGGATCATGTATGATTTCATACAAGGAAATCTATGTATTTATTTTCAAGGGAGTTTGTCATCAGGCAAAGATTTGTGAGACAGCAGGCAGCATGAAATTCACCAGTAATATGAGAAAACGTGATCTTATAAAAAAGTTATGTTAATTTAAAGATTGAAAGCATTGCATTTAGAGGAATTTAGGGAATTTCTCCATTTTCACTGACTGCACTTAAAAACCACAGCAGGTCAGACAGAAGGAGGAAGGCGAGAGAGTTACGATCCCACGATGGGCCCTCTTTTACCCCCTCATTCTGGCAACTGATAATATTAACTCTATTGCATCAGGTTAATTACAACGTGTGAACGTGTACACCTGTTGAAAGTGTGTGTGTGCGAGTGTGCGCATGTGTGTGCATGCAATTGTGTACGCTTGCCTTAATGCATCTGTTTAAAATGGCACTTCAACACGCATGAGAGTAATACTGGAGGGTGAAGGAAATTTTCACCACACTATCTGCGTGTATGTGTGTTCCTGTCTAGCTATCTTTGTGAGGACCAAAATCTGCATTCTACTATACTTGTGAGAACCAACAGTCATTTGTGAGGACACACTCACTAGTCCTCACAAGTTTGAAGGCCTCAAAATGTGGTTTTAGTGTCAGGGTTACAATTAGGTTATGGTTAGGTATTAGGGTAAGGCATTAATTTTTAATGGTTAGGGTTAGGGGTAAGGGGCTAGGGAAAATTATGTCATTATGTCAATGAAGGTCCTCACTAAGATAGCTGAACGGGGTTGTGTGTGTGTGTGTGTGTGTGTGTGTGTGTGTGTGTGTGCGCGCGCGCGCGCGCCAGTTGTCTCACAAAGGGTAGTGCTCTTTTTTAAATATTTCTCATTTTAAAAAAAATGTCTGGAAATTAAAGTTAAATTACAGCTACATAGAGTACATGGAGAACTATTAAGTATTATAGTAGTAGTGGTATTATAACACCTATCACAACCCTATTAAGCATAAGGTATTTTATGGACAGAGATGTACAATATAACACATTTTATCATAATATCATCTTTATTGAGATTGATACTTTTAAAATAAAACACTGTTGGCAACCACACAGCTGACAGTTTTGTACTGTAAAGCTTATACTCTGTGAAGCACGGTTCAGGATTATTGTTATTGTAGTTTACAATAAATTGCTGGTACATTGGCAGTATCTTTTATGATCTTTCATGTTTGATCTAATGACATCTAAAGGCTTAACTCTGCCATTTATGCTCTTCATACTCATCAGGACAGGATTAGATCTCTATTACTTATGTTTTTAAAATGAGACATCTGCAGTGTGCACATGCAATACAACAGTATCTCTGTGCATATTTATATGCTCACAAGCTGATCTATAAAAACTGCCACCTGAGGGACACGTGAGACTATGTCCCAGCACGGTATAAAGGGATTCTGCAGTGCAGCGGCACAGCTACATCGTGCTTTGCTCATTTAAATTGACAACTTGTGCGTTCATCCCAGATATGAGTTGAGTGGAGAGAATGTGTGTCTGCATTTAAATGCTCAGAGGATAGAAGGCAATTCCCTCATGAAACTGGGAATCTTTAAATATGGCTGACTGAACAGACAACCATATGGGGCAAGGCTGTGTGCCAAATGCAGCCTACACAACAACACACTCAGTCACATGCACACAAACACACAGTCGATACAGTCAACTATTATAGTAAAACCATCTGCCAGTCACTTCTAATTTGTTTAAATAACGATGATGTTGCTGTTTACTAAAGCAGTACTCAATGATAGGTGTTTCAGAGATAACCAGGGTTTATAAATTTGCAACCCCAATTCCAAAAGAGCTGAGATGTTGTGTAAAACATAAATAAAACCTCAGTGCAAATATTTGCAAATCTAGATCTCGATAAACACATATTTTATTCACAATATACCACAGAAAACATCCATCTTCTTATCCACATCAGGGTCATGGCTGGGCTGGAGCCTATCCCAGTAGTCATAAGGGAAAGAGCAGACTACACCCTGGAGTGGTTGCCAGTCTATTGCAGGCCTAACACAGAGAGACAGACCACCATTCATGCTCACATTCACAGCTACAAATTTAGAAACATCACGTATGTCTTTGGACCATGGCAGGAAGCCAAAGTACCTGCAGTAAGTAACCCACACAGACACAGTGAAAACAAGCAAACATCATTATGATGTAGTGAAATTTGTCAGTTTAAATATTTAACATGTTTTTTTTATGTTCTAGTGTGAATACAATATGGGAGCATGAGACCTATAAATGATTGCATTTTGCTTTTGTTTACATTTTACACAATGTACCAACTTTTCTGGATTTGGGGTAAGTCAGAGTAAGTTTAGACCTTTTTTTTTTAAATAAATTGGCTAATATTTAAAAAAAAATGGATGAATGGATATATAGTTAAAATATGTACAATAATCCCTACATGATTTTGAAAGGACTATATTCACTGAGGTCATGAAATAAAGCCGTCAGTGCTCTCTGGTGGACTAACAACAGAACAGCTGTACTAATGGTAAATATATGTCCACATCCAATTTCTGTGCTGCAGTTTCATGCTGCATATCAGCTGAAATGTTGGGATACATACTGAAACATACAATCTGTGATAAAGCAACAAAACAGGTGAAACTGAAATAAAAGCTCAATAAGAACAACAAAGAAAATGTGCTGGTGTGTGACAAATCTGTTCTCCAGAGACACTGACAGCAATTGTTTAGCTCCATTTTCCACACTAGCAGCACACTAGCCGTACAGTAGTACTGTCCACAAACCCACAAACACAATAGCACTGCTGCAAAGAGAACCTATGCATTGGCACAAGTACTGACGGGTCTATTATTGTGTCTAAATTGTAACCGTCTTTTTTTTTATGTCAATCTGAGGAGAGAAAGACAGAAACTCCTGTACAACTCAAGGTGACCTGAGAGCTATCAGCACAAACAGGGCTCTGTATTTCTCATCTTACTTGCGATCAATCCGAAACACTGCTGACTAAAACAGAGGGGGCTAGCTGTCAGTTCACAGCATTTATCATACCTACAATTTGCTGTTTTCTCTACTCTTCAGTCTTTTACATTTCTACTGCTTCTCACATTCCAGGTTAGATTTTCTGCCTCCATTCTTTGTCTTCATTTACTCTGCCTCGCTCACTTTTCTACCTCTCAAAATTGACTTTGTCGCCCACCGCGACATCACTCCCTCAATTTCCATCTTCCCTTCATTTTCCCTCCCTCTCTTGGTTAGCCTCATTCAGAAGAAGGCTTTTGTGATTGGCCAGTATTTATATCAACTAGGTCCCAGTGCCACCTGGGACAATAGTCTCCTGTCAGATCCAGGTCATAGCAAGCAGAACCACTCTCCGGCTCTGCACGGTTCAGTCCAGTCCATTGAAATCCAGTCCAGCCCATCTGCCACACAAGCCAACCTCTCAGACAGACATAGGTACTGCACCTACTCACCCACTGGCATCACACAGACACACAAGGCAGGAGCACACACAGGTGCTGCATCACTGCTCCCATTTTGCCTCACACACACACACAGGTAGACAGTGGGAGATCTGGCTGACTGCACCAACCTGCATCATGCACACAGGTGAATATTCACACCAAGCCTGCCTCTGAGCCCAATAGAGGCTCTGCTAGAGTGACATTTTTTCTTTACTACAGACAGCAACTCTGGCAGTGATGCTGAGAAGCAGGAAACAGGTGAAGGTAAGTGGATGTAGCACAGATCTGCATGCTTGGTAGAAGTTTAAGAGAGAACTACCATGTTTAGCATTATGCAATAATATGGGGGAAAGCTACAAAACAGGTATTACAACAGATGGCATTATTAGCCTCACAATGGTTAACAACCACCACTAAATATGGGACTGTAATAGGCTTTAGTGACCAAAATAAGACTTTCCACTAAAGATAAATACTTTATAGGGCACAGATGTTACAACTGGCTTTTTAAATGTAGGCTAACTTGCCCGAGGGCTGGTACCCACTCACCGTCAGTGCTACACAGTTACTGGAGTAGTTTACACAGGATTACAGGGGGATAATCCATTTACAGTATTTAGAGACATGAGTCGCCATCTGTCTGTATTTATCTCAGCAAGGGAGCCGTCAGCACCGACTGACAGCAGCAGCACTTTTATGGTAAGAC